AGGCAGTGGATTTTAATCAAGTGTGTGCACCATGCTATGTGTGTAGCTTTGTACCAGAGATGGAGACCCCTCCCCCACAAAAAAGTAAAAACAAGACAAACAGACTCCAGTCCAGTAAGGGAAACAAACACTCATCTATAATTACAAACCAAAATGTGGGTCTCACACTAGTATGGATCTGAAGGGAATCCAGCCGGGTAAAATCACGTAACCCCTAAGATAAGGGACATAACCACTTACAACTCGTGTCCGCATCCGAGTTCTTCCACCCATACAGAGCCACACTGACACCAATCCACACAGCCCACTTACCCCTGCCCCAGCTGCCCCTCTGAAGGCCTGTAACTCACCCAATACCTGCCCAACACCTACTCTCTGCCAGCTCCAGAAGACACCAAGAATATGGAAAATACAGCCCAGATTTGCCCGAGAGGGGGTCGCACTGGAGTCCTGAGGATCTCTGCCGCAGTATTCTCCATTTAGCCTCTCTCCTGGTGATCAGTGACCTCTAGGCTCGTGGACAGATATCTGGCTACCACAAAGGAGCCCCGCCCCACTCTGCACTCTTCTGCTTTGGTGTCAGGCCCCTTGCCTTCTACGGGTGCCTACGCAGGACGCGATGTCCTCGCAGTCACACATACTTGGAGGTAAATGTGAATTTTGGCCTTATTTTACAGATGAGGAACTGGGGATTGCAAAGCAATGAAAGGGGTTTTTAGACACTTGCAATGCTACTTTTAGAGCCAATGATAGTGGCTTAGGGGAAGGAAGGTCAGGTGGGGAGACAGGTGGCTCAGGTACCTCAAAAGGATTCTCCCACAAGCTTGTGCCCATGCCATAGCCCCTCTCTCAGCATATTCTGGGCAATGTATTCTTCCACTTGGGCAAGAAAATAGCCTCTGAGGAGGGCAGCTAATAGTGACTAAGGGAAATCTACCATGTAAAAATGTCAAGGGGTTTGTCTTTTGATGATTCCACTAAAGAATTTAGAGAAGGCACAACAACTCAGTGAATTATGGCAACTCATTATAATGGTCATCCTTAAAAGAGCACCTTATTTGTTCACTGTCTAGCATTCACTTAGTTTTAGGGTTGCCACACGTGAGTGTTCTCTGCACCTTGTATTTCTAATAGATACATCACAGAAAATGATACAAAGAACAGTAAGACGAAGATGATCAAAATTTCCAAGTGAGGCAGTTCAGCCTGCTGGAATACTCAATGCGAGGGGCAGGAAGGGTAAAGAACAGCCCCCCTGATGCCAGGCAGGCCTGGGTCTGATTTCTGATGCTGCCATTTACTAGCTTTGTGGATTCATGCAGGTTAATTTGTCTTAGCTTCCTCAGCCATAAAACGGGGACCAGTCTCATAGGACGGGTGTGGTGCTTCAATGAGCATCAGTATGCCTTTGGGGGGTTAGATGACAGGAATGTCACTGCTTGCCTTCCTTGCCACTTTGGTGGTTGGCGCACTATTAGAATACTTCCCCTGCCCCTTTTTGGAATACAGTCATCCTTCGGTGTCCACAAGGATGAGTTCCACACCCCCCATGACTTCCAAACTCCTGGATGCTCAAGTCCCTTACATGAGAGGGCATAGTGTTTGTATCTAACTTTTAACCACTTTTTTCTTCTCCATTAAATTATCTAGCTTACTTACAATAAATAATACAATGTCAATGTTATACACATAATAGTCTGTTGCATTGTTTAACAATGACAGTGGGAAATTTGTGCGCATTCAATACAGATGCAATTTTTTTCATAATACTTTGATCTGCTATTGATTGAATGAGCGGGTGTAGAACCCACATAGAGGCAGGGCCAACTGCATTGCATGGAGACGAGGAGCTGAATCCTGCTCTCTCGGAGACCCACCAGAAGCGCTTAGTGAGCTTCGTGGTTTGCAATGTCTCCAGCAGATACTCCTACTTATTTTTAACATAACTCACTAAGTTTCATGTTCTTTTTCACTGCCTACTCATAAGCATTTGTGCTTTGCTTGCAGTTAGAAAAACTAGGTTTTATGGCTGATAATTACTCTTATTACAGACTTCACGGTCTCATATTCTGGATGGTTACTCACTTTTAATTTGGTTTATTTGGGAAGTTTTCTTTCTATGAAAAATAACTGATATTAAACTGAACCACTGTCTCCTGAACACCTACTGGCGGGTGCGTTGCTGGGTACTGGGGAGTGCGTGTTTTTGCCCCCTCCAAGCCCCGGGAGGTTTTCCTGTAGTTCTCATGTGGTCTGCAGACTGGCACAGTCAGCATCAGCCATGGACTCGTTAGAAATGTAAATTCTCAGGCCCCACTCCAGGCTGGCTGCATCAGAAACTCTGGGGTGAACCCCAGCTGTCTGTTTGCATAAGCCCTCTTCAAACAAAGATCATCCTCATCAAAGGTCAAAGCAACACATATGCCATGAGTTTATTGAGCTAAATCTGAAAGTATTATTTGTGTTTCAAGGAAACAGAGGCCCAGCGGCCCACGCCCACAGGACAAGCTGATGGAGAATTGCACTTCGCCAACTCAGGCCTCCCACCTCAAGCGGCCAGGTGTCTCCCTGCTTCTGCGTCGCCTGTGTCTGATGAGGGAGCCTCATGTAGTTCCAGACCAAACGACAAACATCAGTTTTCCAAGAACAGAGACAACAGGCTATGAAAATCAGGATCACTAACAAAATAAAAATCTGACCTATCAGAATCTCTCAGTAAACTAGCAGTAATAGCCCAAACGTTTAAAAAATATCCTAGTTCTGTTTATAAGATTAGAGATGGAGGAAGTGGAAACAAATACAAGGAAGATGTGACCGGAATACATCCAGAAGAATGTAGTTTGCAGAAATGCTAGTGGTGGGCCTCCACCTGTGGAGGATTACAGAAAAAATCTCTTTCTCCTGATATTTTCCTGGTATTTTTCCAGTGACTAAATATTACTTTTCTAATCAGGAAAAAGAGTAAAGCTGCTTTTGGAAATGTTATGCCACTCAACAGGAGAGCTTTTTTATTTCTATTCCTTTGCATGCAGGAGGACAGTGTGTATAGTAATTATTTATGCCATACCATATGTTACAATGAAAACGAAATGCAGCCAGGGTATTCGTTCCAGCTGGCCCTAAAAATGAAGAGGCTAAATGCATTCCTAGGTTCAAAGCACAGGAATGAAGATGAGATAACTGTGGAGCCAAAGGGAAACTGACTCCCAGCACGGAGAGCTCAGAGAGCGCCCTTCTGAAAACCTCTCAGTCCTGCACAACTCCTCCCTCGTCTCCCGTCTAGCCCCAGGCACAGAGCGGAATGGCCAGAAATTCCTGTGAAGTCTTATGAATTCTGCAGACACACATCTATGGACAAAGGTCAGAGAGGTAAGGTACAAAATGATACTACTATCACCCTCCCCAAATTTTGTCCTTGTGGGACAAGAAGACATTTCAGATTATTACTAGATTCCATCATCCAAAATGTCCTTTTTTCCTTTCTCGAGAAATATTTGCTCAGATATTTATGTCAGATACCTTAATCCATAAATCAAAAAATAAATAAATAATTGATAAATAAAAATCATTTAAAGAGACATTTCTGCCACAAAAAACACTGCTGTAATGTTTCACTTGATAAGACCAAAAAAATGCTCCGAAGGAAAACCAGCATGGTTTTGCTGAAGCTGTCAGGGCTATAAATTCAGTGAATGTTCACTGAAATTTCTTGAAGGAAACAAGAAGTTGAGAGCCAATGCATTGAATGTGGAAAAGGAAACTCCAGTAGCTATCTCGGTCACCGAAGCCGAGCTGACATTTCTAGAATTTGCAGCCTCTTCCTGGGGAGAATGAACTGCTAGCAATCGCCCCTCCACACCTTGCAGGCCTGAGCCCAGCACGCCCAGTGTCCGAGAGGCCAGGAAGAACCCATCCCCTGTCTTTCCTGGGTGAGGAGGCGTCTCTCCAGCGTCTCCAGCTTCCTTCTGTTCCCTACTATCTGGGCGCAGCCACACCCATTGTAAAATTACTACATTAAGAATGAATACACAACTCACAGCAAGTTCCCTGCCAACAACCCAGCTCCCGGGCCGTGCAGTTGCCCACCTGCTCTAGGAGAGCCTTGTTGACGCCCGTGAAGCCGAAACGGGGTCACTTCTTTCTGGCAAGCTGCAGACACAGCCACAGCCCCTTCCCCAGCACCATTCTAGTACCTGCAAGTGCAATTACTGTTCTACTTAGCTCCTCTAGATTAAGAAAAAAAAAAATCACTGTTGCGTTGTGCATCATCCTGTTCCTGCAGTTTGACCATGGGACTGCTAAAAGGTATTGATCAGAACTTACCTGCAAATCCAACCCTAAACACTGGTAAAATGCTAAGGGAACAGCTGCAAGCCAACCAGAGGCCTCCAAACACCTTCAGTATACAGCACAGAAATGCCAATCGGCTCCAAGCAAGACAATAATGCGCCTACTCTGTCAAATTAACAACAACAAGAACACAGCAGCTTCCTTCCATTCTGAGCAAAATGAAATTTCCTGGGCCACTTTTACGGCGGCCTGGAGCAGTCCACAAGCCGGGTCTCTGCGCAGCCCATCTGCTCGCTGAGCGGGTACCTGCGGCTCCCCGCCCGCTGCCCCCTCCCCGCCCCCGAGAGCAGACCTCACCTCCGAGCCGCGCTGTGTCCCCCTCCGAACCCCAAACAGGCGAGAGTGTTCGGAGGAAAAGTTCACGAATGCCTCCTTTGGAGGTCTGTGCCCCACCTGCGACCACAAACCCGAGGGCTCTGGAGGAAGGCAGGAGCCCGATTCCTGCGCAGCCCAGCCCTGCCCCGTCCCGCACAAGTCCGCGCGCCGGCTCGCCGAGCCCTTATGTAAGCTCGTCCTGCGGCCCGAGGTGCAGACACGCCCGGCACCTGTCACGCACCCGCGCGACACACGTCCTGGGCTGGGGCCGCGCCTCCGCACGCCGTCCTTTCCCCGCTAGTTTCTGGCCGGTTCTGTGTCACAACTACGATTACCTTAGCAACCCAAGAATCGCTGCACTCTCCCCGCGGCTGCCGAATTTCTCCTAAAGACAAGCTCGCGCCGGGCTCCGGGGAAAGCTGGAGAAGCCCGGGGAAGCGGGGACTGGCGACCTCTGGGGGCGGAGGGAGGCTCGCTCCGCGGTCCCGAGTGTCCCCGGCGAGCGCGGGGCTCAGC